GGGGGGGGGGCCGGCCGGCGGGGGTGCCCTGCGGGGGTGCCCGCCGAGCCCCGGGGTGACCTGGGCCGCTGTGCTCCCGCCGCAGGTGGAGGAGGCCGGGCACGTCTTCCTCCTGATGAAGAAAGATTATCGCATTTCCCGCAACGTGCGCCTCGCCTGGGTCCTCAGCAGACTCCATCAGGTCATCTGGGCTGTGCCCGAGCCGGAGCTGGTGAGTCGATGCCCAGGGCTGGATGGTGTCACCACGGCCTGGTGTGGCAAGCTGGTTCTGTGCCACTCAGGAGCAGCTGGACCCTGCAGAAGATTTTAACCCTGTTCCTTTCTCTGATTCTTCCTTTGGCTTGGCTTGACGTTCGCTCACGTACTGTTTACTTGTTCTTGTAGGTAAAGTCGGAAAACGAACTTGATGTTCTCAGCATCCTGCCTAATGGGTGGCAGCCGGATGAGCCCGTCCAGCCCAGGCCCTATCTCCTTGTGCCCTCTACACGGGTCACCTTCCTGGCCCGCCAGTACCGATTTGTGATTGAACTTGATCTGAGCCCTTCCACAGGGATTGTGGTAAGTGCTGAAACTGCCTCTTTGGGGTGTTGTGCATTAAAAGGCTGGACCCGTTTCTGTTTGCTGAGAAGGCTCATTCCTCTCTGTGTTAGTCTCAACTTTTGCAGAAGTCTTGCTTTTCCCAGGAGCATGCAGTGCTCCTAGCTAGGCGGCTTAATGGCAGATCCTTTTTCTCTGCTGAATGCTCAATGTGTGACTTTTGTTTATGAGGAACTGTCATTTTAACCCACCTGCCATTGTAGGAGGATCTTTGCTGTTGGCTCTGCATGGTGGGGGAACCAGCAATGAGACTGAAACTCCTAGAAGATGAAAAAGCTGTTCCTTTTCTCTTTTTCTGTAGGATGACTCAACAGGGGAGATAATTTTTGATGAAGTGTTTCATGCCCTTTCCCGATGCTTGGTGGGATTGTTAAGACCCTTTCGTATCCCTGGTTCAGACATTATCTACCAACCAGAGATCTTTGTCACCATCCAGGCGTATTCCTCCATCATTGGCCTGCAGTCCCATCAGGTAAAGTTCAATCTCTCCCCTGGCACGGCTCAGCACGTGAGCAGCTCACTGTGGGCTTCCCCTGAACACAGAGGAAAGCAGGGGCATGTGGTAGCTGGGTTCTGTTATCTGTGGTGCTGCAGGCTTGTCTCATTAAAATGTGCAGCCTGGTGCAGTGGAGAAGTGGATGTGAGCAACTTCTTTCTGGGCAGGAAGTGGAGGTTTCCCCTGAGGGAGCAGGGCCTAGCAGAGAACACTGCCCGCAGGCATGGTCTCAGAGTTGGGCAACAGGGAATATTTCCCTCATGTTGAATGTGTGGTTGTTGTTGTTTTGTTGTTTGTTTTTTTTAAATTTCTGTTGACTAATTCTTTTGGGCCTGTTATAATTAGCTTGAAGCATTCAAGAAGAGCTGGTGTGCCCAAAAGCTTGTCTGCCTGCTCCAACTGTGTAGCAGTAGTTTATTCAAAGATAATTGCCTCTTCCTACAAACCTTGCTCTCTTTTTGCACTGGTATGAATATGTTTCTCCTTGCTGGAGAGAGCAGCTGGCCCCAGTATTTTGATTATCAGTGAGATTTTACTTGAGCCAGGACAGGTCTGTTTATTAAACTGAAATCTGGTTTATGGTGCCAGTGTGGTTTTTGAAGTTTATCCTTGATCCCTTCCACCTCTCACAGTGTTTTCACATTATTTGCACATTTGTAATGGTGTATTTCATCCCTTTGCTAATACCAGGGAAAGTGGGGGGTAGCAGGAGGAACCTGTTAGTCTATGCTTGTTCCCTCCCTCTCTCTCCCCAGCCCGCCTGTGCCCAAGCCTGCAGCTGCAAGGCTGCAGCCTTTAATGGTCTGTATAGTGCCTGAAGAGCGTGGCCCTCTCTTTGGTCCATTCTTAGGTTGTACCAAAGTAAATGTAGCAGGAATTTCTCCATTTGCTGGTGATGTTTTGTGTGTCATCTTGTCCAGCTATCCTGCAGACACCATCATGCTTTGCCTCAGTATCTTCACTATTTAGAGTAAAGTGCTAAACTGAGCACTCTGAAGTTGCTACGTTTTTCTTCTTTTGATCTCTCTAAAGACCCATTTATTGTATGAGGCCAGGAACTGTAATCTCTGGGTACAACTGGATAAGCTTTGTGTTCCTTTTATGGAGGAAAAGGCATGTATGTATATCACTCATCCAGGAAAGCCTGTCTATATTGTAATAATTTACTTTTCCTATGTCACTATTAGGTCTTGCCCATCTGAGGTTTAGGGAATGTGGATAACATATAGCATCTGACCCATCTGTTGAGTTCTTTGTCCACACATTGCATCTTCTTTGCATCCTGGTTGTGGACAGGGATTGTCTGTACAATGGTGGCCTCTGTAAAGTGTCATGCCTATCAGCTTGGGGAGTTTCTGTGGTGGCAGGCTCACTTTGTCACATCGCTCAGCCTCTTTTCTGATGTCCAGTCTAATTTTTTCTTTTCTTTATTTCAATTTGCTGTTCCTTTATCCACCCACTTACTGGAAGATAATTGGATCAGTCTATAGGTGTGTTAGATTAGAACAAACAGGCCTTCCTTAGAAACATCAGACTGGAGTTAATGGCTTCTAACAAGGATCCCACATTGCTTTCTCCAGACAACTGCTTATTGTGGAAGAAGGCAAATGAAGCAGAAATTTCTTGCCCAAGAAGGAGATTTCCCAAAGAGTGATGTGAGCATCTGCTGCAGAGTGCACTGCAGATGGCACAAGACACCATTGCTCACAGGCAGTTGGCCCTGAGCAGTAATAGTGAGAAGAGGCCTGTGGTGTACCTGTACTTTGTCAGGGATGTGTCTGAACTTCACTGTGCAGAACTGTGTTTCTGTGTACTGTTTTGGGGGCTGGTACTACAAAATGTTAACTTGATGATTTATGTGTGTCCTTGGGCCAGGTACTATTCCAGGGTTGTCAGCTGGATGAGACGAAGCGAGAGGCCTTTCTGCACCAAGTTTACACACAGCTATGTGCCTTTGAGAACAAAGTGGCAGAGATGCTCCAGCAACAGTATGAACCCAAACCGCAGGTAAGGAGGGCAGAGGTGGTTGCCATCTCTTGGCTCCCTGGAGGTTTGTACTCTGAGGCTGCTCTGGGGTGGGGTGGCAAGAGGTACAGTGGTATAGGTCTGGAGAAGGAACAGCTAAGTAGTTTGTAAGATAACTTTGTGGGATCCAGTAATGAGACGTGAACACTGAGGAAGGACTGATGAGAATGGTTACCTTCCCCACGATTATTGTGCAATAAAGCAGCTGACTTTTACATCACGGGACAAACTGTAGAATGTGCTTTCTCTCTGAAGAAGGTGGTGGGAGAGGTGATTATGCCTGTATCATTAATTTGTAAACAGCTCTGAATATCCCCTTGGCCCTTGTTACGTTTCTTGAATGAAAATATTTCTTTGTTACCATGAAAACTGACCATGAAACTGAATAAATAGCTGGTGTGGTTTCTAATACTCCTTGAAATCTGTGGCAGATACTGGTTAGTAGCCATGGATATAGGTATCAGCAAGTTATTGATATCACTATAAAATACAGCTGAAATTAGGATGAAATTAAAAGTGAGACCCTGTAGGGATTCAGAATGTCTATGGATTTCTCATCAAGATCATCTCTCCTGATCTTGGAAATGAAGAATGGGAAGGTTACATTGTGTTACTGCCAAGTTCACGCGGCAGTCACAATTGTATCTATGGGCATGCTTCCTGCAAAGGCATTATTGGCCTGTCTGAGGTTATTTAGTCCTTATTTAGCATTAGTTATTAAAGTTTGGGCAAAAAGAAAAAAAAAAGTCTCAAAATCAGATGAGCAAGAGGTTACTGGTGATCTATTGCAGTTGCATATCTGAAGTGCTACAAATCTCATATTCTGGCTGAAATTTATATCTTTGAATGCTATGACTGTCAGTCCTGGAACAGAAAGAAGATTGCAGGAAGTAAATACCTTTACGAGTGTGTCCAGCTGGTGTTTTTGTAGTGCCTTGTATTCATTCCTGCTTGCTGCATTATTTCTCTCGTGCTAAACTACCCTATAACTTCTTCCATGCAAATGGGGGAAAGAGACGCACTAGGAGGCCAGAGGGACTGGCGAGTCCTGCCACAGGCTGTGGGGTGGAGGTGGGAGGCCCCAGGGGAAGGGCAGGGACTGAAACTTTTTTTACTTTTGAAGTTGTAGTAGCTGTATCATTGTCAACAAGTGTCTGAATTTAGGCATCTGGCAAATTAAAGTGATGGATAGTCAGGTTTTTTGCTCACAGCCACAGACTGCTCCCATTTGTGCAGAATAAAAGTTTAGTTAGTTCTAATTTTCTTTTCCCAGCTCCAATCATCCTTAGGTTTGCAGGGAAGGGTCTCGCCCATTCTCTGTATTAGCAGTAAAAATGAAGCAATAGTTTATTACAGGGGTGAACTGCCAGAGCCTTCTGGAGAAGAGGTGATTATGAATGCAGTAGGTTCCTCACCAGTGTAATTATACAAATTTTAGTCTTTGCCTGGGGGATATTTTTCATAGAAGATGCAGGAGAAGCCTGCCTGCATTTGCTTATATCAGTGTTGCGTAATGAGTGCTGTTTGAACATACTTAAATGTATAGGCGCTAGACTTTGTCCTTATGAAGCTTCTTACCCCCTCTGCTGCAGTGCTTCATAAGTGAGATACAGCTATCTGCCTCCACAGTGTTTCTGAGTTTTACTTGAGTAGCTGCTGAATAGCTGCAGCTTCTACTAAATGGCAAGGAGAAGAAGA